TACAGATACACGCACACTGCAGATCATAGTAAAGGACATCTAAAAGTATTTTAAATATAATGGGAAGCCTGGAATTAATTTCTTTCTGGAGCATTTCAAAAGGCATTATGCAAAATATTGTGATATTAAAGGATAATGGGCAGTTATCCCTATGTTCAAAGAAGCATTTATGTGGTAAACAAGGTCTTGCTACAAAATTATGCTTTGGGCATGTCAGACTAAAAGCAATTGATCCTTAGCTATATTTTTATATCACTCTGCCAAAGAAAATCGCTAAGAAAATATTGTTTGACTGAAATATGAAATAAAGTGTAGTGCTGCCAGCTCATATGCTATATTCTGAGCTTTTAATCTGTACGAATAGTGAAGAAGACTAGTGAGTAAAAAGTGAAAACAATATTTTTAAACATATGGTCAAAAATAACACTTACACTAAGCTATAAGTTAAAATTGTTCAAATGTAATGTTAATGAAAATTAGTTCTTTAGGTTAATACACAAAACTGAACTCCAGATAATTGTATGGATTAGTGACCTAAAGAAAATGTCTTAATACCCATCACCAGGCATGTACTGAATGGAGCACTGGGTGTTACGCACAATGAATCATGGAGCACTATATCAAAAACTAATGATGTATGCTGATTAACATAATAATAAAAATAAAATATCTTAAATGCTTACAGCTTTTTATTGAAGAATAGTTTTCAAAAAAAACCATGAATTTATAAACTCTCCTTTTAAAATTTATAAAATTCAGACAATTTACACAGAACAAAATTTGTCTTTGTGTGAACAAACACAAAAGACAAATCATACAATCTTTATTTACCATGTTTGAATTATTGTATGTTTTGAATTAGCAGATCTCTGGACTAAGGAGGAATGTGTATACATTTGATATTCATTCATATAAAATATTTATCAAGTACTGGGATGCCTGGGTGGCTCAGTCGGTTAAGCGGCTGCCTTCGGCCTGGGTCATGATCCTGGGGCCCTGGGATCAAGTCCCACATCGGGCTCCTTGCTCAGCAGGGAGCCTGCTTCTCCCTCTCTCTCCCTCTGCTTGTGCTCTCTTTGTCAAATAGATAAAATCTTTAAAAAAAAAATTATCAAGTACTTTAATCTGTGCCCTGTGGTGTCAGACTCTGAGATACAGTAGAGAATAAGGCAACCATGTCTCTAGTCTCATATCTGTATTTCAGAGTATTAATATATATGTTATATATATGTGTGTGTCTTTGTGTATGTATGTATATATATAGAGAGAAAGAAAGAGATGGGCGGGAAGGAGAAAGGAAGGAAAGAAGGAAGGAAGCAAGGAAGGATGTTAGGAATGAAGGAAAGAAGAAAGGAAAAGAGATAAAGAAGAAAGGTTTACAGCTAGATGATACCGAAAAAAAATGTGAATTTGTTTTGACAGAGTCGGCTAGCAATTGATGGCAGTGAATCAAGGAATCCTGCACACAAATACACACATCAAGGACAGAGATGTGCCAACAAGAAGACAGAGGTAGACACAGGCAGATGGAATGCTCAGATGGAAAGGGTTGTCCTCTTTGAGCTTGGGAAAATCTTTCCTTTTGTTCAGTCTTCAATTTCCTCATTTCTAATATGAATAGTAGGGCCAGATCTTTTAAGACCTTTTCTAATATTTATATGGAACATTAAATGACTAGAATAGAGTGTTTGAGTTATGGGTAGTTCTGGTTTGGGTAGGAAAAGTTGGTAACCCTAACTTTTGGGTGTTTATGAAAATAAGTCCTTTTTGTTTGCCCCTGTTCTGATGACTGTGGCTGGCTTGCGATGCCTGGTCAGGCATAGGATTCCAATACAACTTGGAGTTTTCAGGGCCCAGCAGGAAAAAGAGCAACCTCAAGCATCTGGGAAAGAAATCAAGCCAGTCCAAGCTGACTGTGTAAAACCAGTTCTTTAATCTTAAAGGAATAGGAGTAAGGAGGAAGCAAACATAGAGAAAAGCATGGGCTCAGAGGGTGGGCCTTGAGAAGTTGCTAGACTTGAAGAAAAGAGCACACCACCATATTGCATTCAGTGACCACATTTCCAAAATGCCCAGGCACACTGCTTGTAGTAATCAAGGAACAGCAAATACTTTTATTAAACCATGGGGTCATAGGAAATCGAACAAAACTGAACCAAAAGTATTGTGTTTTCTATCTGTGCCTTCATTAAACTGCTATAATTTCCTTAACATGATATTTGCAAAAATGTCTAGGAATATACCTGCCACATTCTTAAGTTCTTGGTGAGTGTTACTTTCTTTTCATCCCCTTTGTTTCTTCTTCATCAGTATAATCTTTGCTGAAGGCAGCAAGATGCCCACTCTGTATTAAAAAGGAAGAAAACTTGGAAGAATTTGAAGTTTTGGTTCAACTAGTCAATCCAAAATAAATGAATTTTTTTGTCTATTTCTTAGCCTATGAATGTCCACATAGTAGCAGATATTCACGTGTATGTATTACCTAGTTGATTCTCTGAATGGCTTATGGCTATAATTATTTAAATTAAAGTATTTCTGTTCACACATTAAAAATAGAAAATGTGAGCCTTCATTTATATTTTGGACACTTGAAAAGAAAAATAAATAAATTCCACCATGATAGATTCTAACATCAAAGAAAATTACAGTTTTTCTCATCTTAATTGAGAATATTCAGAGAAGTAAGATGCTTATGACCATACTTTGAAATTATCACCTGAAGCAGTAACTATTAAGCTGTCTTGTCAAGTGCTGCTTGGCTTGCATTTTTAATAATATTTGTGGTACCTTGGATTTTGTACAAAGACTGTGAATTGCTTGCCTTATAATCTTCTTGGAAGATGTTGTTGCTCTGATTCCTTTTACTTGTCCAGCTCCTCTTACTTGCTAGCAGTGTCCTATTGGAATTATAATGCAAAGATAGTTTTTTTTTTATAAATGATTTAAGGTCAAGGATTTGAAATCTGTTTGTGTTTTGTATTGGAAGACTTATAAAGTAAGTCTAAAACAGAGATAATGTAGAATCCTGATTTTTTTTTTTAGAGAAGAATTTTTTTGATGCTATTTCCATTTTATTAATTCAAAAAATATATATTTAATTTAACAAGTATCTGATCATTTGTGTGATTTTCATTTGGGTAGTCGAGGTATTCTTTTGCATGAAATGTTAATAATGGCATTCAGTAACCATTTATAATAAAGAGATTGATAGCTGGATCACTCCAGCAAGACAGTAAATAGTTTAGTGACAGACTGCTGAGATGGAAAGCTGTTTTGGAAATCTGAGGCTAAGTAGAGTTTATGTACATTTTTGAGAGAAGACAAAAGTGAGATTAAATGAAAGAACTAAGGCTTCACAAAACACCATGATGTGAAAGTGGTTAAGATAAAATCTTGATGTCTCTCTCTTGTGAATTTAAGGAGCTCAGCAGTTTTCCCTCATTAGCACCTTTTACTTATGTCTGTCTGATGGCAGCTAGAATTTTGAGAGGGACCATCTAAGGTACACGATTTATGTGCATCCCTTGTGACTCCACATTTTTCACATCTTTGTCAGTTGAATAGAATCAAGAAATAATGCTCTATTTAATTTCATGTCTAAAGAGATGAAGTTCTATGAAGTTTATTATCTATAATATTTAATGTCTGAAATCACATTCTGGATTTATTGGAAGTCAGTATGATTTCATTGCTCTTTGTGTTTCAGGGTCATTTTTAAAGATTTAAAACAAAAAATATATATAGTTTTGTACACACAGATTCTTTAAAAAACTTCTTAAATTATAATAATAATGTCTTTATGGAGAATAAAAATTTGGTTCTATACTGTTAAGAAAGTGATTATGGGGGTTGCCTGGGTGGCTCAGTTGGTTAAGCGACTGCCTTCGGCTCAGGTCATGATCCTGGAGTCCCGGGATCGAGTCCCATGTCAGGCTCTCTGTTCAGCAGGGGGTCTGCCTCTCTCTCTGACCTTCCCCCCTCTCATGCTCTCTATCTCATTCTCTCTCTCAAATAAATAAATAAAATCTTTAAAAAATAAAAATAAAAAAAAAGAAAGTGATTATGGGACATCAAAAGTCTTAAAACTGGAATATTTTATTGGGAAAGAGATAAGTTTAGATCTCTTTGACCTAATATTTTGGAAGCTATATAAATCATACTTAATTTCTTTCTGTATCCTATATCCTATATATATATATATATATATTCAGAACTCTTAAGGTCATTATGCATGAAATAACGGGTTGGTAAAAAATAATTAATGCATTCCCAGGATATACCAAAAACTCAGGATTCAAATTGGCAAAGCTATTCATATATAATTTTTATCTCTATTTTATATCTGTCTCTAGGTGTATGTTTCATAGATAAACCTATGAATAAACATTTAGGTATCAAATTTGCAGAAGAATCTCAAGCAGATTGAGTCAATGAAATAAGCACCTACTATTAATTTTAAACTAATGAATTTTCTTGCAAGTATTATTACATTGATGTGTTATTTATAACATGCCAGAATTAAATAAGTGTGGATTCACGTGTTACATTTTTCTCCCTTCTTTTTCACATTTACTGCTTTTTTTCCACTGTTGTCTTTTAAAAAGAAAATGTACTTGCTTTTTTCTGTAACACTTTATCTACTCTGTTAGTTTACATACTTAACTTTTTTCCAAATATACATAATTTCCTTTCACTGTTCCTTCTTGTTAAATGCACCCATATTCAATTTACTTCTACCTTATCTCTTAAATACATGCTTTTTTCCCCCATCAAATTCATTTGCGTTAACTTTTGAATTAGTGGAGACAATGAATGATGTTCTATTACTTTACTTAATTTAAAAAGGTTTTTGTTTTTTTTTTTTAGTTCTCATTGTACTGCTCCTTTTCCCAATAACATAGATTAAGGCTGCAGAAATTTCTATGTCTGAAATAGTTTTCTTTGATAATTTTTGCTAGTTATTTTCTAAATATTAAAAAAAAATCTTTCTATTTATACAGTGGGAAGAGATTGGTGAAGTTGATGAAAATTATGCCCCTATCCACACATACCAAGTATGCAAAGTTATGGAACAGAATCAGAATAACTGGCTTTTGACCAGTTGGATTTCCAACGAAGGTGCTTCCAGAATCTTTATAGAACTCAAGTTTACTCTGCGGGACTGCAACAGTCTTCCTGGAGGACTGGGAACCTGTAAGGAAACCTTTAACATGTATTACTTTGAATCAGATGATGAGAATGGGAGAAACATCAAGGAAAACCAATACATCAAAATTGATACCATTGCTGCCGATGAAAGCTTTACGGAGCTTGATCTTGGTGACCGGGTTATGAAACTGAATACAGAGGTCAGAGATGTAGGACCTCTAAGCAAAAAGGGATTTTATCTTGCTTTTCAAGATGTGGGTGCTTGCATTGCTTTGGTTTCTGTGCGTGTGTACTATAAAAAATGCCCTTCTGTGGTAAGACACTTGGCTGTGTTCCCCGACACAATCACTGGAGCTGATTCTTCGCAATTGCTTGAAGTGTCGGGCTCCTGTGTCAACCATTCTGTGACAGATGAACCACCCAAAATGCACTGCAGTGCTGAAGGGGAGTGGCTGGTGCCCATCGGGAAATGCATGTGCAAGGCAGGATATGAAGAGAAAAATGGCACCTGTCAAGGTAAGAATTTGCCTGCAGACCTGCAGGAGCTGTCCACTTCGGTTGGATCATGTATATGTATTTCCTCCAATGATTATGAGCAGATGAGCTTTTACTTTGCTAATTTATGGAGATTATTTCTCTTCAAGTTTGATTTCTCTCAGAATTTTAAAATTTCTGGCAACGATCAAAGATTTAATGTAATATTTTACTGGATATACATAAAATACTCAGAGTGTCTTACTTGCAGTGTAGTATTTCATATTCATTTTGCTTTCAGAAATTTTATTTTTGAGCAACTCAAACCAAAGAATTTTTTTTCTATTTTCTGCTACTCTACTGCTATTTTCTCTCCATGAAGAGAAAATAGTACCCTTACCTTGCTATATAAAATTCAAATGCAAATGTTAGATGAGACTTGTTTGGCATGCTTTTAACTGCCTTTAAAATAAGTTCAACCATATGAACTCTGTATGAAAATACTTGTCAGCTGACAGTACTTAGTTCACTGTGTTGTTTACATATAAGTGCTGTTACATGTTTGCTTTTAAAAATTTACCAGTCAGTATTGAATGCATATTAAGTAGTACCCAAGAAAATAACTTTGGAGATAGAGCCAATACAAAAAAAAGTTATTTCAAAGCAATTTACACCTGGGGATTTTTTTCTGTTTTAATTTTTCTTTTAAGATGAAACTTGATCATGTGTATTTCCCTCTTCATTTGAAAATACCCTCATTTTGCCCACAGTATGGTGAGTTAAACTGTTTTAGATATTTAACCATGGCTTTTTGGAATAGGTTGATACTTTATGTCAGAGTGAAGAACAGCTTATGAGGAAGAAAGCATCTTTACTTTAAAAAAAAAAATCATTCATCCTTATGAACCTGAACTTGTTTTCACCATGCTGTGCACATGCGAAATAGGTAATGAGAGTTACTGTTAACTGAAGAGAAAACTAAGTACTGAAAAGTCCCCTAATACCACCTGGTAGCATCAGGTGCATTTTTTTTTTCTAAATCCATTATATTATGTGAATTAAACTTGCTCAAGTTTGTTCAGGACTGACTGTAAATTGATTATAGATCCAGGGAATCAAAAGTAGGGAAATGATAGGTAAATAATGGTAACTTTGTTTAATTATTTCTCTTTAGAAACACATTGCACCATCTTTAAAATTCTTTTTTAGCATCAGCTCTTATTTTGTATTCCTACAATATCATCTACAATTAAGTTTATGGTTTCTTTTTAATGTGGTCTACAACTCTCTATGCCTTTGTATATGTATATACATATATATGCAGTTCTATTAAATCAAAATTATGTTTTGCAAATAATTTTAAACTTTTCAGGGAAATGAATTATTTTTTGTTTGGGATTGGATTTAAAGGAAAATCCTAACTACCATTATTTTAACTTTTCTTCTTGAATAGTCCTTTTAGTGTAAGGTGAAGATATGTATAATTGTAGAATCAGAAGCAGGAGATTAAATATAATCTGTTGAATACATTTCATTATTTTGTCTAAAATATTTACAATATAAATCTTACTATTTCTAAAATTTTGTTGACTAGAATTATAAATCAAATGCTCTACTTGATTATTTATGTCACTTAAGAGAACAGTATGTGGTCACTTTAGGTCAGAACACAATGACCTTTGTCTTCATCCAAATGGAGAGAGGGTATAAAAGACCTCTGCATTTAAAGGATAATTTTTGTTTGTTGTGGGGATTAAAAGGTTCTGTGCATGCTTATCATGAAAGTATCTTGGGGAAGTAGTGTTCTGACAGAATGTTTCTTAGTCCAGGTACTCAGTGCATATCTTTCTCTTCTCATACTTTTAATAATTGAGGAGTAGAAACTTAATTGAGAGACAGTGGGGTGAACTAGGTAGCCTGAATTGTAGAAAACTTTACTAAGCTGGACTGTCTAAATTCATTTATTACCCAATCCTGGTAGTAGGAATAAAAGTTGTGGGGTCATGAAGGCTGTGAACTACACAGCCCCAGAGGGTGTTCTACACAATGTAGAACATATGAATGGTGCCTTTTTTCCCCCCAAAATACAGATGGTATGTGGCCACTCTGTGAGGAATTTCAAATATTTATTCTATAAATAACTTACGTCATTGAATGAATAAATAAATGTTGAAGGTTTATTTTGGACAATTAAGGTATCACAGATATTCCTGAGACATTTATATCTACACATAATATGAATATGCAAATGTAAATGTGTCTGTGCGTGTCATATAAAATTCCACCATAACTTTAAATCATTCTATGGTCTTAACATGCTATCCCCAAACCATTAAGTGTGGATCTTGATGTTTTCGAACTATTCTTGGTAGGTCAGAAATCTAGGAATCATTCTTAACATCTCCTTCCTACTCACTTCCTGGTTCCTACCCATCACAAAATATTTGTAGGAATTACAACCAGGCTGTCTCTTAAACTCATCCACTTTTCTCTATTTCTTTTCCTCCAATCTATAGGCATGTCTTGTTGGAACTTTACTTTCCAATATAATGAATGACTTTATATAATAATATTTTGATTTTTGAGTCATGTGAATGTATCGCCTTTACAAAAATGCAAATCTTGTTGTTTCACACACCTATCCTTCTCTGTCCACTCACCCCCACCACAAACTTTAAATACTTCAATCGTTTCCTTTAAGATAAAGTTTTTACAGTAGCTTAAGATTCTGCATGATTTCACTCCAGACACATCTTAAACTATGCTTCCTCTTCTTCTCTGTGCACTAGTCACACTGACTTTCTTTCACTTTCTCAAAAGCTCACTTTTACTACTTGTCCTGTGATTCTGTTCCCTTGCCCTGAAACATTCTTCTACCTACTTCATGCCTGATTAACTCACACTGATCCTTCAGATCTATCATCCAGCACCCCTTCCTCAGCGAAGCTATCCCTGAGTCTTCAAGATCAGGCCTCTCTATTCTTTACCTATATATCTTCCCTTCATAGAGCCATTTAGAGTTAAGATTTTGCATCTTTTTGTTGATTTATTATTTAATTAATGACTCTTTTCATGCCCACTGGCTCACACGCTCCTTGATGACAGGGGTGGTGAATGTTATCTTAAGGAATGAGCAAGAAATGAAAAGGCAAGAAATAGGGAAATGAATCAAAAGAGAGAGTAGAATGGGCAAAAGTATAAAAGAATATTGTGGTTTAAAATTGCAGTAGTCCTTCCTTATCTGAGAGGGTTGCATTACAAGACCCCCAGGGATGCCTGAAATTGCCCATAGTACCAAACCCTGTATATACTGTGCTTTTTCCTGTGAGACAGTCTAATGTATAAATGAGGCACAGCAAGAAATTAACAACAACAAATAACAAAATGTAACCATTCTAGACTGTAATAGAAGTTATGTGAATGAGGTCCTCACTCTCCCTCAAAATACCTTGTATTGTGCTCACCCTTCTTGTAATGATATGAGATGATAGCATGTCTACATGATGAGATGAGGTGAGGGGAATGACTTAGGCACTGCGCCCTATCATTTGGCTACTATTGACCTTCTGACAATATGGCAGGAGGGTCATCTGTCTCTGTTCTGCAGCTGACTGCAGGTAACTGAAACCGCCAAAAACAAAAGCGTGGATAAAGGAAAGCTACCGTATTGATTTCTTTTCTACCTTTAAAATCATCTGTAGAAAGTCTCTTTGGTCACAAAATTGACAAATGTGTCTCTTAAACCAGTCATTTCTTAGTCCTACGATTCTCAGGCCGAATTTTCAAGTTCTTTGTGTTAAACCATATATGCTTGGTGTATGATGTATTAACTGTTAATGGAGACTGTCTTAGTGATTTAGACCTCAGAACATCACATCCTGAAATGTATTTATAATATACACTTATTATACATTTACATTTAATTACTGTTTCTTTGATAATCAATATATGTTGGGATTTAATTAAGGTTATGACTATATAAAGAAGCTGAAGTTTGAGTAAAACTGTTGTAATGATTATCATATGTTAATATTTACTAAGTCTCTACCAGGATTTCACCAGGTAGTTGCTGTCAGATCATGCTCATGTGACCTGATATACATGCATCATGGAGTTGACCCAAGGCCTTTTAGAGACTAAACATTCAGGATTCAGAATGCTAGGCAGCTCATTAACATACGGCTTCAACCCAGAAGACAATCAAGAAGTGATTCAGGAATTCTTGTCCATTTAGCAATTCATGATCTAGCATCTTCGTGTCCCCTTATTTTACTTCCTTTAAGAGAAATTGACTACCTTCCCCATAATAACCTGGTTTTAATGAGGTAACAGAATACTCTGGTTTCTATTGTATTAACTTAAATTATAGAATGCATTTATTTTTCTATGGCTTACTTATATGCCCAAATTTTCAATAATAAACTGTTTTAAGTATACAAATTTATTTCTTTGAAATATTTTTATTTTCAGAAACTAATAATGTATTAAATCCATTTATACAAGTATGTTTTCCTACTTGTTATTTATTAGTATTTCTGATGAAATCCATGGTATTTTTTCCCCTTAAGAGTCACATGAAATTTTTTTTTTTTGAGTGCAAAATTATTAGCAAAAACCCATTTTGGAAGTTTTTGCTTTTTATTGAAGTGAATGTGTTTGACAGAAGTAATTGAGTTCACATGAATCAAATGTTGCCTGCTGAGTTCTCTTGTGATTATGTTGCTGACTTACTCAGATGCAAGGCAAGACCACTAATCTTCATCAGTTGCTAGTGGAATGAAGTAGTAATTTGAAATTACCCCTAGATAATTATAGTTTCACTTATATCAAATGGAGGAAAGAGATTTAGATTGTGGGTCGCTGCCAAAACCAGTCAGAGTGAAGAAGGTATATAGTGCATGCTAAAATACAGGGTAAGCGAGGTTACATGCCAAGGGCTGTGGAGAAAAAGCACTTATTAATTGTCCAACTGGGAGATGATTGCATAGCAAGGAAAATGTAGCAAAAATACTGAGCTCAAGAAAAAGCCTTGATTCAGAAAC